GACATCATGAATCGTGCTTTATTATGCAAGAAGCGGTTAAATCTTACATCCACGACTTCTACGAGGCGTCGATCAATATCATTTCTGGCAGAAAATCGTGGAAGAATGGCTGGCAATTTCACGAGTCCGACGCGATCGCGCGCCGTTGACGAATCGACACCTCGCTCCTACCAGCTCTCGTTAACGGCGAACGACGTAAGACGAACTCCGCGCTGACATTTCGTCGCGTCCTATCGACACGCGAGAATCGACGAGGGACGGAATGAGAAGAAGTGGGAGCGCAGGATGAAGAAGATCCATCGGTGCAGGCTTGGCATCTGCGTGAACGACCTTATCGGAAAGACATAAACGCCTGAAATCCCGGCCGTAAATTAGGATCGGCAGAAATCGCCGGACTCTTCCATCGCCGTTTCTCTCGTCTTGCCGAGATAGTCTAAGTCCGCAATGTGACGACTGTGTCTGCACGACAATGCGCCGTTATCGAAAAATCAGACACCGACCGAGATGGCTCGACGAGAGCCGATCGACCATTAAAGAAGATAACAATTTTACGAGTTAGAATAGCGAAAAGCAACGTTGCATTGCAGCCGTCAAGAACTCTAAAAGTACATGGAATCGTCTCAAGAAAAAAAATTATTTTTTAACGATTATATTATTAAAAAAGAAATTGCTACAGTGATGATAATTGAATTGTATGCTAATGTAATTGTGTCTAAACCAAGTAATAATAAATTATGATAAATTATGTATAAATAATTACATTTTCTAAATGATTTATTAATATCAGAAAAACTTAGATTAAAAGAACTATTTCGTAAGAGTAGCGAGTGCAGTAAATTTGTCTTCACAAATCGGAAGAAAAATATCCCACTGTCTTTGCAGAAGCACTTCGTGTCCATTGCAGAAGTTAAAAATTTTTATAGTCTCATCGAAGAAAGGAATGAAGACAATCTTCCCATTTTAACGCTGATCCTGACAGCGGCAAAGACTGTAAGATTAATGACGTGGTTCCCACGATTTTTTCTTATTAACGCCAAGTGCAAAAATGTATGTCTCCTAAATGTACTCCAGGTTCTTCGAAATATATTATCGTCATTATGTTATCATAACGTAGCAAGTGACGAATAATTCGGTAATTTCAATGTTTGTTAACTAGTTTTTGAAGATATAACAAAAGTTAAGATTATTAAACTGTAGTCTTATAGCATTTATTATTATATCAGCCGTCTTGTTGCGATTATATTTGAATAGAGGAATGTTCCTCGTTTTCAAAAACATCTTGTAAAGTACGTCTTGTACAACGTACTTATATGCATATTGTAGAGAGTACTACAGGAGTTAAGAATTTTTTACGATCGCGCGGAGGAGGACGCGTAGGGGAGCGGATCGACGACGATCCTTCTTATGATGGTTACGGCGACGAGGAAAAGAGCCAGGTTTGATGGCGAGGTGAAGGGGCGAAGGGAAACGATGGTGGTGAGTCTATGCCGTAACAAGGGTGGCACGATTTCAAGAATGCGGAGCACGTTCTCAACCAATGCCGGCAGCCAGGCAGTAAAACAAATACGCCCTCCCTATATACGGGGTGTCCCGGTAATACCACGCGTCTATGACCCCCTCACCCTCCCCCCCTCCCCTCCTGCGTCCGGAGGAAGAGTGCCGCGGAGTAAAGTCGACCTCGTTACCGATACGAATGGAGGTAATGTGCTGTGTAGGTAGCGAGAGAGAGACCCTTTCGCGTGGCCCTCCTTCGCGGAAAACAAGGTTCTCGCAACCGAAGCTGAAATTATCTCGAACAGCGGAAGTTTCCTTCACTATTCTTTCTTATGCTCATACCAGCCTCTCCAGCAGCATCCCTTATTAAACCAGTCGTTACGTCAAACTTACGCATTCTTCAAATTCGTTCATCAACAAATATTATCTTTCACGACAATACGTTTCTTATTTAATATACAAATTAGCAGCATGAATTTAATATTCATACAGCTAAGCAAAAAAGTGTGTGATATTATTGAACTTGAAGTTTTGAATCGACAGAGAAAGATATACTTTTAAATTACAACAAATCAACTTTAATAAAGAGACTTGTGCTCGAATACTTTTGCCTGCTATGATTTTTCGCTATGTATAATGCTCATCTTTTGATATTCCCATAAAAATAAAAATATCGATAAAGAACCGCTGCGGGTTGATAGCGCAAAGACTGATTACAACCGAAGGTATAGCGCGTGCAATTATTTCGTCTCCCACGTCAGATATGTATTCCCTACGACTGTGAACGCACGGTCGCCAGTGAAGCGAACTGCTAGCGGAGAAGAGCATGAAACAGCCGATAAAGGCGTACAATGGCTTGTACGAGCGCGGAAACGCAAATGTCCTCTTTCAGAAGCGTCCTCTTTAGAGGACAGAGAGTGATGGACAGGTGAAAGAAGTGGCCAATGTGGGCTGGTTTCGACGTCTCATGTGACACACACGTCATCGGCCTTTGTTTTCGCGTCCTTTTGATTGAGTACTGCATGTTCTTTGTCCCTAGACCCGGAGTACAATACCTTTTATCGTATTCTTCATTTGACGCTCGACGGCGGTGCTCTCTTCGAAAAAATATAATACAAGATTCTGCGATGGCGACTGCTATTAATACGCAGACCGTGTAAAAATTGGCGGCTCTGTTCGTAATCCCGTAATTTCTTAATTATTTCACTGTGAATATACGTGACTTTATTTTTATTCAATATGATTCATACGTTAAAACATTGCGTTTAAATAATTTAATACAGCCATGAAGCGATGCAACGTTTTGTAAAAATAACAATTTTAATTAAATCTTTTAAATTTAATTTACTCCATCTTCAAAATAAACAATTTATTTAATCAGTATTTATAATGTATTTTACGCTTCACATTTTCACATGTGTCATTCAAGACAAAAAGTTCGTGCATGTTCGCACGAGCCAAATCGATTACTTTCTAGAAGTTCTATAACATTAATGTAAACAAGAAATTTTCCCGTACCGCGCTCGCAGATCTAAATATTCCACCTGCTCTACATTTCCGATGCGCGGTTTGAAGATCGTGATCCCGTTTATTCAGTGGAACCTGTTCCCATTCTCGTATTTGGAGCTCGTTGCTTTTCTTGAGAGTCTGATCTCTGATCTCGGCCGAGATCGCACGTGGACGACACCGAGCTACTGAACTGGGGGGGAACCTATGAACCTATGGACCAGTTTCCACTTGATACAGCTTCACGAGCTGTTTTCCCCGACAGGCTGCGCTTCGGTGGCCGCCCGTTGAACGAAACCTGTTCGTTCGCGTAGCGAGAGGGCCCGTTTCGGGTTATTCTGGCTCATCATCGCGGGCTCGTGCCGGCACAGAAAACGGGTCCATCCGACGAGGGATGCTGCCCCCGGGAACAATGACCACTGTCCACTCGAACGTACACAAACACCGTGCCACAAAACGCACCCAGTTAGCCTTTGACTCTTATTTTCTGATTTTTTGCGGTCAGTTGTAGAGAATAAAAAAACTGGTCCATCCGGAGGGAGATGCTGTCGCTCTTCTCCCTCTCTGTCACTGTCCACAATGGAGCTAATAAACGCGCAAAGTATGCATCCAGTTGATCTTTGACTCTTACGCGATGAAGCTTGACTACAATCCCCTACGTAATATCTCAAAAAAGAAGCTTAAATTGGCATTTTTAATAAATGTAACTAACTTTCAAAAAAAAATTAACATCTATTCTGATGAAAATTTATTAGATGTATAATAATTGTTGCTTTTTAATTTAAAAAGTTTCGATTGTTTTCGTAATTATACATCTTAAAAAATCCTTTTTATGAGCAAATGAATTAATATGTATATGTATATATATAAATCTTGTTCTTAATTTTATTATTTTTCTTAACTTAGACTGTAATTTGCTTTCATTTTTCTTCAAATGTTTATAATATTTATTACTCACAAAAACGTATATGATATTTAAATATATGTAAGTATTTGATATAAGGTATCGAATACAGGCTCATGGGTTCGCTAAGCCCAAATGACTGCGCGGATCAGTCATTTCCCTGCGGAAAAGTGGCAGAATCGATTTTATGTGAGTCTTGGCTGCCCTCTCAACAAAGAGCAGGGAGACAAGTAGTGAGATGGATAACGCAGGAAACTATCATTGTGGTATTTGGCAAACTTACAAACAGAATATTTTATTCATTAAAATTTTTTTACTCATTTATATTTTGAGAACGTATATTCCTCCCTATTACTTAAAAGTCATAAAAGTATAGTATGTATTAAGATAAAGCAATAAGCGCACTGCAGAAGAGAGACGACTTATCCACCGGGTAGAGTTAAGAGAATCTCAATACTCGCTGTAGATGAAACCTTGTAGATGGAAACTCTCAAATCAGTCGATGATATCTAATTTATATTGATTTTTGAGTTGAGAGATGACTAAAAAAATTACAATCGTACATCGGACGCACGTTGCAATAAAATTATTATTCGTCAGAGTAGTAATTCTGATAAATCAAAATATTCAATACTTAGAAAACTGATATTTGTTGCTGTCTCGTTCCTAAGCAACCCCCCTGCGTAACTTGCGCACGAGGACACGTACTGCGGCGAATAAGTGACATGCACTTCTAAAACCATTAGTACCGTCGGACTACCTGTCGTCTCGCAACTTGAAATGTACGGACCACACCGGATGTGCAACGTTTCACGGACCACCGAGCAAGAGCAAGTCAAGTTACAAAAGATCAAAGAGCTAACGAACATCTTAAAGGTCTTATCTATAGCAGGAAATGACTAGCAAAATTTTGTTTTCCTTTGTCGTTTGCGAAACAAATTATCTTATGCTCTTCTTAATGATTTTAAGAAAAAAATGTTGTTTATTCGATTTATTCCACAGGACACGGACAAGAATCTTACCATATGCGAAGAAATATTGGCGACTTACATAAAAAAACGATTGAAGGTACGCAACACAAAATAATTTGGCTCTCTTTCTACTTCTACTTGTATGAGTTATTTATTTTAATGCTCCCATTTTCTTTATGTGTAAGTGATCAAGTGCTGTATCGTCTTACAGTTGGCACACGATTACAACTAATTGGCACCACGAATTTAAAATCTTCATAGTATCTACACTAACAATTACAAATAAAATTTAAATTTAAAATAAATGTAAATATGTGCCTTGTTAAACATTCTTCAATGTATTCACAAGCAACTCGACGAACATTATGAATCACGATAACTGTGACACTCGTAAATTATCGAAAGTTGCGAAAAAACGGTGCCAAAAAATCGAAGCGTACTCTCCGAAGCGTCAGTCGCATACTCCAGTCTCCGAAATTTACCACCCTTTATACCAACCACCGTGCCAACCACTGCCATATGACAACGGCCAGCCCGGATACCAACCGTAGCCGTACAATCCGTAGCTACTCAATCCGCCCAATCGATACCTGAGAAATCGAACGCATAAATCAACTGTCAGCGCCAAATTGCTGTCTCGAGATTTTTACATTCGCCCCGTTGACAAGATATTTATCTGTACTATTTACCACGGCAACACGGGAGTGTAAGTGCGTACGTAAGGCACGGAAAGCAAATCGTAGCTTCTCTTCCCTAGTCTCTTTTCCCCTACGACTTGCTGAGCGCCCGGTTGTGCTTGTAGAACAGCGGTCACTTGCGATGATACGTCATTGCCGTCGGCTGTTCTTTCGGCGACGAGGCTCTCGTCCCCGGAGACCAGAATAATCAACGACAACAAAAGCTAGAACAATTATCGGTGTGTGGACAATGCGAATATGAATCACCATAATTAGCGAACGACTGCGCGAGATATTGCAAACCGGATGATTGTTTCGTCAATTAAATTATATCGCAATCAATAATATAATAAATGTAGTAACATAAAATTAATATTTCAAAAAAAGATAGTAGATATTTGTTTCTAATTTAATAAAAATTTCATTCAAACTCGTTAGATATATGAGCAGATTATCGAAATTATAACGCAATTTTTTTGATATCACAAAACGCAATTGCAATTTATATTATGTAAATTTTAGTCACATTCTATCTGAAAAAGTGAGACGTATATTCGTTCAAGCATATAAAAAATTTAATTCGTACCGAAGACGTTATCTCACGCGAAATTGGATTACCGACAAAAATTCTCTAACTTTATATTTCAACCGAATTAAACGGCTTACCAGCAGCTTCATGTCAAGAGTGGTACGCACTAACTGATAGCGCCCAAGGGGTTGACACTTCTTTTATACTAGGCTTCTCATACAAGTCGTTCGCTAAATTTATGGTGAATTCTAGATCCACCGGTATGCGCGCACGTACAACTAGCATCCTGACTAACAACTCCGCAAGACCACTCCCATCTAAAGAATCGTTGAACGATATAACGATTGCACGAAAAAGCAATCGTTATCGCGATTTATTTCTGCGGTCAGTCTTCAAATTAAAAACGTATACGACATGTACAGATTAAACGG